GGGGCTCAGGGGCCGGCCGCCGCGTGACCCGCGCAGTAGAACGCCGAGCTTAATCACAACCAGCTCGTGCTCCGGGCGGGTCGTGGTCCCGGTTCCCCAGCCGGTGACGCCGGGGATTTCTTTCACGGCGGCTCCCTCTGACATGCCAAAGCCGCCCGAGTATTCAGAGCTGAGTGACTCCCTAACGCTTGCCGTGGGAACAGCAAGGTTCTCGGGACCCTTGTAAGTGTTGAAGACGTACTGCCGAGCTTAATCACAACCAGCTCGTGCTCCGGGCGGGTCGTGGTCCCGGTTCCCCAGCCGGTGACGCCGGGGATTTCTTTCACGGCGGCTCCCTCTGACATGCCAAAGCCGCCCGAGTATTCAGAGCTGAGTGACTCCCTAACGCTTGCCGTGGGAACAGCAAGGTTCTCGGGACCCTTGTAAGTGTTGAAGACGTACTTACTGTCTGACTTGGGGCCCCGACATTGGTCTGACTCGCAGAACCAGGTGCTCGCTCTGAAGCAGTCCTGTTAAGTCGGAAAGTTATTTGCACTGTAAAGTGAAAGGTTCCGTGGGAAACCACTTCGGTTCCAGTTCTTTAATGGAAGGTGTCCTGGACCCATTTAAGCCATAGGTAGTGACCTATTCTGTGGGATTCACATAAAACCGGACTTCCCTAAACACTGAAACGTCTTATACCTCCTCGGGACTATTACATAAAACCACCTGTAAGTTGTTCACATGTCGTCATACATGCAATTTTAATTTATTTTAAACCGTAAATGTAGTAATGGGGGATTTTAGAAGTCGTTGGAAATAAAGCAAGTACATTTGGAATAGTTGATCTGATTAGAAGCCTTGACAAATGACAGCATTCCTAGACCCTAACTGTATTTTCTTTCTTTTTTTTCTTTAATTTGAAGGCACAGAGCATGGAGAATGATGAATTTTCGCCAGCGGATGGGATGGATTGGAGTGGGATTGTATCTGTTAGCAAGCGCAGCAGCATTTTACTATGTTTTTGAAATCAATGAGACTTACAACAGACTGGCCTTGGAACACATCCAGCAGCACCCGGAGGAGCCGCTTGAAGGAACCACATGGACACACTCCTTGAAGGCTCGGTTACTCTCCCTGCCGTTCTGGTTTTGGACGGTGATTTTCCTGATACCTTACCTGCAGATGTTTTTGTTCCTATATTCTTGTACGAGAGCTGACCCCAAAACGGTGGGCTACTGCATTATCCCGATATGCTTGGCAGTTATTTGCAATCGCCACCAGGCATTTGTCAAGGCTTCTAATCAGATCAGCAGACTGCAGCTGATTGACACATAGACTCGGTCACCATTTTCCCCTTATGATTACAAAACTGCCAGTGCCGTGCGGGGCCTGATCACAAGACGGCGGTTTTTCCACAGATCTCAGGAAGTTGTGGTGGGGCAGAGTCCCTTTAAACAATGTGACTAGGGGGCTGTCTTTATCTGACTCATGGGTTTTTAGGTGAAGCCCGAGACACAGTCCTAACAAAATAATGTTGATGATTTCAGATTTTGGAAGTAAAATCATGTCTGTTACTTGCATTCTTTAGAAACTTGAATAAGTTCCTAAACTCCTATTCTTATTCTACTGTGCAACATAGTGATGGTTCAGAGATTTTTCCTTTGGGGGGAAAAAATGAACATGAACATTTCCATTGTGTTTAATGTGTAAAAAGGTCCAAACATGGTCATAAAGTTTAAATTTTATACAATTACTTGGCTTGCTTTAAAATTCTTCAGACTAAAACACCAATTCATGCTTTTCTGAGTAAGCCAACTATTTGTCAGCTTGTGAGAAATTGGTATAAAATTATTGAGATGATTGCTGTCCTGATACACGGAATTCATTCCTCCTTTTGGTTAATGCTGTGGGCATTCTTAATGCTACTGATTTTTTTTAAAAAAAGACTTGGGAAGAAACTAAATGTTTGAAAGTTGAGAAATCTGACTTATACATAGGAGATGGAAACAAGGTGTTCAATGAACATGTTTGTCCCAGTGCCTGTCAGATGTGCGATAGCTCTCTAAAAGATGCTAGCAAGTCATCCTGATACTCCTTTCTAGCCTCAGGGCTGGTCTTTAGGCGAGAGGTTAGTTGCATGAAGATGTGATCCTTGTACTTCCTCCTGTGCATTTGTACTTACTACCTCATGTCTGGTACCAATACAAATATCTAAAAAATGGTAATACTAGATTTTAGGATTTTTTTGGGGGGGTGAGAGTAAGATATATTTTTATACAGCTATGTCATTAATCCCAGGGAAATGTTTCACACTGATAGGTTTTAATAATGTTTTGGGTGCTTACTCTGTTGGGCCCTGTTCTAAGAACTTTGCATAAATTAACTCAATGAACAACCCTATGAGCTAACAATTATCTAGATTTTACAGATAAGGACACTGAGGTGGAGCAGTTAAGTAACTTGCCAGAGGTCACACAGCTGGTAGGTGGCACAGCCAGAGCTGTGACCAGGCATCGGATGCCTGTTCCTAACCACAGCTACAGCGCTTCTCACAAGTGACAGCTGTTCCATCACCGGGCACTGCCTGCCTCGCCAAGTTAAAGAATGGAGATGGCATCATCGAGAAAGGTTTTTCTCAATGGGCTACTGGAAATCTAAGTTTCTAGCAATCTCACCCTTTAAGTCTGATTTGACTAGAATGGAATGCTGCACTTTCCATAGAATCTCTTACTTGAAAGATAAAGCAGGTACTTTTGCAACTCAAAAGCAGCAAGATCAGATTCTTCTCTAATTAGTCCCAATTCTTTCTTTTACTGCCTTCATAGGTCTAGTTCCTGAAATGATTTATCTTCTGCTACAGTACATAGAATCTTCAAAGTAAGCGGCAGTTTGAAGTACAGATAACCCAATCACTTGTATCTTTTGAGTATTTACTAATTATAGACGGTCCCTGACTTACCATGGTTTGACAGGAATTTTCCACTTTATGATGATAGTAAAGCAACATGCATTCAGCAGGAACTGTACTTGAATTCTGATCTTTTCCCAAGCTAGTGATAATACAGTAAGAGTCTCGTGATGCTGGGCAGCAGTGAGATGATCTTGCCCAAATGTAGGCTGATAGAAGTCTGCTGAGCACGTTTAAGGTAGGCTAGGCCAAGCTCAGGGGTCCAGTGGGTTAGGTGTGTAAATGCATTTTCTACTTACATTTTTAACTCATGATGGGTTTGAGAGTAACCATCATAAGTTAAGGAGCAGTGTAGTATGCATGCTGCAGGCGCTGCATTGAGTGATTTTGCATTCATCCTGACAGCCCTATGAGGCTGGTATGTACTGGTACTAGTGCCATTTACAGAAGAGTAAAATGACAGTATGCATGCTGCAGGCGCTGCATTGAGTGATATGCATTCTTCATGACAGCCCTATGAGGCTGGTAGGTACTGGTACTAGTGCCATTTACAGAAGAGTAAAATGAAGAAATCTGAGGAATTAATAACTTGCCCATGATCACACAGCAAGTAAGTGGAAGAGCCAGGACATTGAACTGGGGATGTCTGGCTTCAGATCTCCAGCTCTATCATCCCAATCTATTGCTTCTCAATAATTTGAGGAAAATCATTGAGCAGTTTCTTGTTTTATTTGATTAGTCTTGAAGCAGTGTTAGTTTGGAAATGATTTAAGAAAATTACTTGTTACTTTTTATTTTACAAATGTTTGATATAATGCAAGGTTTGTGAATTGGTCACTTGTAAAGTGACTTCATTTTTATTGAAGTACATTTTCTCTCTTCACATTCTAATATTGAGATTTGGTAAGTAAATGCTCGTCTGTCTTTCAAGGTAATATGTCCTTGGTAGTAGAAATGTTAAAATAATTACAGTAGGAGTAATGCAGTATTTCTAAATGTTTCAGATTGCAGAGTTAATCTGTTTTTGATTACTTAGGAATTAATTATCCAAGTTGGATTATTACTATTTTGTCTATGACTATTTAAGAGTTCAAAGCACTCTTTTGGGAAAGAGGAAAAGGTGAAATTTATCTCCCAGCTCTATTAGACCGAGGAGGAGGTTAAAATTGATGGATTGGAGACCTATTATTATAGCAGGTCATCACTTATTTTATATTCTCATCACAATACAAAAAAGCAGTGACTACAGGATTAGGTAGTGAGATAAACAGTAAATAAGGGAAGTGTATCAGAGATTTTAGGAAAGAGACAGGCATCCTAGGATCCCTAACCAGTCAGTATATGCTTCCAGGTATGAGAAAAATAGAGTGGTAACGAAAAGTTTTTCTTTGGGGAAGTGGAGTCATAGGATAAAGTACGCCCAAGAGAATAACTGTACCCATAATATAATCAAACTGGTATATTTCGTTGACCATGGGTATTGTTAAAGTCTTTATTGAGAATATCTAGTGTGGATTTTTTGGATGGGTTTAACATTTTCAATCTCAAAAATACTGGCAGAAAAGCTTGCCACAATACCACATGACTCACGTTTGCATCAAACATTTGCCATCATTATAAATTCTACAACATATTTTTTTTAAGTGCCATGTAATTGTAGACCATGATTGGGAATCATCATGCATTAGTATTTTTGTTTTGGTCTAAGGCAATGAGTGGGGTCTTGAACTGTGGCTGTATATTAGAATCACCCAAGGGAATAAAAATTGCAAAGCTCATATGAACAATGTCAGGATCCCTTTTCCACCAATTATGTCCATTTCTGTGGGCATAGTCCAGGCAATCCTGTTTTTAGAGGCAGGTCTTCAAGTGAGTCTGTCAGGGTTTTCTGCACCATAAAGACTCAATTGTTAGTCACGAGATCTGGTGTTTATTTTTGGAACCGCCTCAAAAACTATTTTGCGGTAACTTCACCCTAGCTGTTTGAATTGCAAATCTTTAAAAGAGGTGTTTATATTTCCTCCCCCCCCCCCAAGGTTTAAATAGACTTTATTATTACAAGAGGGAAGCCTACTGACCAGAGCTTTATAGCCGGTATATGTAGTTCCAGGGTGTCACCATGGAGAAATCAGAGGTTATGATTGTAGAGGAAGTCACTGACTGAAGGCCAGGATCCAGGGGAGTCAGCCAGGAATGCTGCGGACGATAGGACAGGCTGGGGTGGTCCCGTGGCAAGGTGAGGGGGAGAGGACAGCTTCACTACTGCTTCCTGAAGCTCTCCAGGTGTGACAAGACCCAGCCCCACAGCCGGAGAAAACGAAGCAGGAGATGAGCAAGGGTGACACCCATGGTCCTGCACTGCTTGGAATGGATCTGGGCCTGTCAGGCCCCTCAGCCCTGGACCTCAGTGAGTAGACTGCAGACAGCTGCCAGCTGGAGCCCAAGCTTAGAAATGAAGTGTCTGCATATTCTGATTCCAATTCCTCTCCTTCAGTTTATCTCGAATCCCATTTATCAGGTTTTTGGCCCCCACTCTACCAAAACTGTTTTCTTGTCAAGTGGTCACTGGTAGCTTACACAGAACTGAATCCTTTGGTCAAGTCTCAGTCCTCCAATTACTTATTAGCAGTTTTTGACACATTCCCTCTCCTTGAGATACTTTCTTCAGTTGGCTTCTCATCACTACTGCCCAGTAGAACTTCAGCGAGGATGGAATGTTCTTTATCTGTGCTGTCCCAATCAGTAGCCACTAGCCACATGAAGTGAGCCCTTGAGATGTGGCTAATGTGACTGGGGAACTGGGTTTAGTTTCAATTAGAATTTAAATAGCCACCAGTGGCTAGTAGCCACTATGTGTTAGCCCAGGTCTAGATATTTTTCTGGTTTTACTCTTCCTTACCAGCTCCTCCCGTCTCCTTTGCTGGTTCCTCCTTGGGGATCTGCTGGATTTCTAAATGCTGGCTTCCCCCCCCCCCCCCCCCCCCCCACCTCCCTTTTCTCTTTTTACTCCCTTGATCATCTCATCCAGGCTCATGTCTTTAAATGCCCACATTTATATTACTACCTTGTCTCTTTCCCCTGAGCCGCAGATTTGAATATCCAACTGCCTACTTGATATTTCCTAGATGTCCAAAACCAAGCTGCTGATCTCTCCACCCACCAAAATCTGCTCCTTAAGTTCCCTACGAGATGGCTGCCAAACCCCTGACGAGGGATCCTTTTAAACTCTTACTCCTCTCAAAAGTTCCTCCTGTGGTTTCCCTTCTCAGAATAAAAGCCAAAGTCCTTCCCATGGCGTACAGAGTCATAAATAAGCGGCCCTTGACCTTTACTTCAGTTCCTAATAACACTCAGCCCCTGACTCCACTCCAGCCGCACTGGTTTTCTTGATTCTAGAACACACCAGAAAAACCTGTTCCAGGGCCTCTGCCCTCGGTCCTGCCTGCCTGGGTGCTTGGCCCCGGCCTGCTCCATCCCCTTCTTCAGACCTCTGCTCAAGTGCCAGCTTAGTGAGGCTGCCTCTCACCACCCAATGGAAAATCCAGCATCCCCCTTCCCTGTTTTTCTCCGAAGCACTTACCATGTGATATCACATGACACGTGTTTTGTCAGGATCTAAACTCCATGAGTGGAGCGATTTTGCCTGTTCACTGCTGTATGCCCTCTGCCCCAGTGCCTAGAGCAGTAGGTGCTCAGTAATGATCTATTGCATGCATGATGCTCAGTGTCGCGGAACACCTCTCTCTCTAGACTGCAAAACAATCTAGTTCACTCTCCAGGGAGAATAAAGGTTAAAGTTAACATTTACTACTAAGTGCAGATCATAATCTGTCTCACGTGCTAGGTAAGTTTGGTTATTCAACTTTTTTTGTTGACACTATCGCAGATAGTTAACAAACTCTTTCAGCTTTCAGCATGGACTGATGTGTTCTTTTATGGCCAAAATTTAAAATGAGTCTCCCAATTTTTTTTTTGCCAACAATTCTTGTTATGTTGGTTGTCTTGGGATCCTTCTCCTTACATCGGTTTGTTGTTCCATTTATTTATGCATTCATTGGTCGATTCCTGTATGTGCCCTGACTAGGGATTGAACCTTCAATCTTGGTGTATCAGGAAGATGCTCTAACCAACTGAGCTACCTGGCCAGGGCGGGGTTTTCCTTCTTGATGCAGAGAAAAACATATACCACATTCACAAACAAGTGTATATTTTAAGTGGTGATTAGAGCCTTGAGAAAACCACCTAACATGCACCAAGTGTCATGACAACCCCTTAGAGCTACAACAAACATTATAGTATTCTGGCGTTCAGGGC